TGTGTACACTTGAAAATTCTTTAATAAAAACTTTAAAACACAATAGCATTAGAATTTAAAAGCTAATTTTATTTTTTATAAAGGTCAACTACATGCTGAAGAATGGAAATAAATAAACAAAACAATGGTATTTATGTATTAATAATGATATGTGTGTTATTTACAAATTGTACGTTAAGGAGGCTTCCCTTCTTTACGTACTCAGTGTAAAACTTTTACTAAATAAGGACGCCAAAAGTGAGCCTCTTTTCTAGTCTGAGTCACTTCTTCTATGTGAAAAACTGTAGTAGTCCCAACTGTTGCTAGGCCCCTTGCCCAAATATACTGACATCTGCTCTACTGAAGAATCCACCAGCAGTTTTAATCAAACATCATGTCTAAAGGCAATGAAATAACATCCATACCAAATCAGTATACCCTTTCTTGTTGTAATATTTAATTCCCCATTATCACTCAAGAAAGTACAATACAATGTAGTTTGACTAACTATCTGGTAACTGGCTTTTTTCTCTTCCGGATGCATCTTCTTGACTTTTCTGTGTTTATATGGATAACAGAGTGTGCAAAATACACTGACATGATGTTAACTCTTAATAATAATTTTTACCTGCCAAAAAATATACATGATCAGGAATTATCATAATTTGTCCATTATTAACGGGGCCAGGATGACATCATTGCATTCTCTTGTTAGGATCTATACCACTCAGCCTAACCCTTGTGAAGCAGGGCGCTATAGCATCACTGACTTACGGTTTGCAGGCTGACAGATCACACCGTCACTACTCACCAGGAACTACACAAACATGGCTGTTGAACTATAACAATGCCCTAGTTTTAACAATGCATGATTCTTTACTTCTGTTAGCTAGATTCTACAGTTCCTTCACGAGGGAGCCTTATAGGACATGTTACTATTCCTATAGTTTTTCACACCATAAACAGAAAAACTGCATCAGCCAAATAGCAAAAACTCCTTTTTATAAATTTTACTGGTATTAATCATGACAAAGGTATTTAGATTTTACTCACTGTTCTGTATATCTTTCTTATTCTCTGGATTCTCGGCACTCTCAAGCACAGAAGTATACATTTAAATAAATGTTTACTGAATAAAACTAAACTGAAAAATGAAAAGGTTCCCACCAATTAGCATAAATGACAATAAGTTTTTTATAAGGCCATAAACACTACATTTCATAATCTTAAGAGAGACTTTCCATGTAATGATTCAAAATATAACTAATACCTTAAGCTTGTTTTTATTTTATTGAATGAAGTTTAATATGCCAGCAAAATTGAATTAAAACTTATCTAAATAAAATAAAATAAAGGTATGCCACAAATGTCAATAAAACTATGAAAATAAAAACCTAGATATGGGGGCGCCTGGGTGGCTCAGTCGTTAAGCGTCTGCCTTCGGCTCAGGTCATGATCCCAGGGTTCTGGGATCGAGTTCTGCATTGGACTCCCTGCTCGGTGGGAAGCCTGCTTCTCCCTCTCCCACTCCCTCTGCTTGTGTTCTTGCTCTTGCTATCTCTCTGTCAAATAAATAAAATCTTTAAAAAAAAAAAAAAAACCTAGAATGATGCTGTATTTCTCAATGAAATAATAGCATTATTCCTAATAATTATTTGGAGATTTAAAATTACTTGATACTTTAAAATTCCACCAACATAAATGTAATCACTCAAATACACCTTAGTCAAAGACTAATAATCCAAAATAATCCAAATTAGTATTGTATCAGTGATCGATGAAGAAAAGAATTATAGTTAAAACTGGTACCAGTAAAGTAGTAAGTAGCCATGTATGTCTTCCTCCTAATATACACGAATCTATACTGTAATTATAAATATTAACCCAATATACACAAGTCTGTACTATAAATATAAATGTTAATCCAAATGCCATTTGGAAACTAGATCTGAAAAACAAATTTTTTGAAACTTGGGGATAATACAATCAGTCTAAATTCATTTGATCTGTAGCATTTGGGCATAATAAAGTAAAACATTTTAAATTTACCATTTATCCAAGTGTATTTAACAAGGATATTTTAAGGTTTTTATAGACCAAAAGAGAGGAATGATCTTTATATATTTTCTTTGTTCTAACTATATTATACATGATAGCATTTAATACTCATAGTAATCCATAAGGTAAGTATTATCTCCAGTTTACAGATGAGACAGAGGCTCCAAGACATTAAGATTGAACTCATAATGATAGGCAAATATAAACCCAGTGTCTGAACATAGTCCATATTTGTAAGAAAGCTTTAGAATGCTCCTCTAGTACACCACGCTCACCTATACTCTATTCAAAACTATAGGATGTTCACATTTTATGAGTATTTAAAGAATTAAAGCATACTTTAACAGTTACTCAAAAATACATCTAAGCATTGAGAAATATATAAAAAGAATAAGGTAAGTGACAAAGGATTTATATCAACCAGGAAAAGATGATTAACATAATGTGAAAGCAAAGATTACACGCTTCATAAATCATTTAATACTCCTCTCCTGACCTTTTCCTTTACACATTTAAAATTTTAATCTTCTCAGGGCCACTATTGTCTTCTCAGGATTAACAAAGAAAATTCCAGTACCCAGCTTTCATTGCAGGCCGTCCTAACTGTTGATAAAAAAATTCTCAGCAAGGAAAGAAGGAAAAAAATGTCCACTCTCTCCCTATAGCCACAAATATGCCCAGAGTACTCTGTACCTTACAGATCATTCAGTTACTGTAGTGAATTGAGAAGATTCTCAAAGGAATGTATCTTACTCCTCTGTTCAGTATCCTTGTAAGTGGTTTTTGTACAAAGGAATCTTGTAAGATACCAATTAACCTGGCTAAAAGTGTGGCCATGTTATGTGAAAGTACATCTTTGACCCTAAACTCAAGAAAATAGCCTAATCCAGGTTGGAGACCTTCATTATTTATTTTTTTCTGTGGTAATATTTAGTTGAAATCTCCTTAAAGGCATTAAAAAAACTCTAAGTATCAATGATACTCTTCTATCATAGAAGTATAATAAAACTATAAGTCAGATTCTTTTTTCAAACTAAAAAGTTTGAGTCTTCTCCTTTACATTATCAAAAGTACAATAAATGTGATACATTTTATTTTTCAAATGAAAATATCTCTTTAATAAATTAAAAACTGATTTCACAATTATTTTTAAGTTAAAAGCATTGAGACAAATTACCAGTATCAACTGCAAAAGAAAAATTAAATTATCTTCTACTCTTTTAGCTGTAAGGAAATAACTAGAAATCTTTATTGTTTGGCTCTGGATATTTTTCTCCCTGCTTATAGAAGCAAAGAGTTATGGAAGGTATTAATTTACCCCTCAATGAGTGATATGCCACAGGACAAACTCTCAGTAAAATATTAGAAAAAAAATAAGAAAGAGTATGTGAACATAATTCTTTTCACTGAGATACAAATTCCTAGAAAACACTGAAATTTTGTTAGTTAATAAAAGCTTTTTATTTAAAAAATTATATATGCAAACAATGAATCATGGAACACTACACCAAAAACTAATGACTACTGTATGGTGACTAACATAACATAACATAATAAAAAAAAATCATCTTTCATGTTTACTAGGTCTCAAAGGATCTCCCTGGAAATTACATGTTAATTACAAAAGGAACCACAGTAACTATATCGAGAGAAAAACACCTTAACCAAATAATTAAAATTAATATCAGTAATAAAAGGCCAACAAGCTCCATGGGCCTCTGAATATGGTATTCCCAACACTGACAGATACACCACTTATATTCTAACCACAAATGGATAAACTCATTCTAATCATGAGGAAAAGCAAACCAACTCAAATTGAGGGACATTCTATAAAATTACTAGCTTATATTCTTCAGAAATATCAATTTCATACGAAACAAAGACTGAGAAACTGTTCTAAGTTAAAGGTGACTGAAGAAACAAGACTAAAGAAATGAATAACCAAATGCAAAACATGATTCTGGACTGGATCCTGTACCAGAAAAACCAAAGCTGCAATAAGAGACATTATTTGGACAACTGATGAAATTGGAATGAGTTATGGATAAGATGAAAGTATTACATTGATTTGAATTTCTGAAGTTGATAGATAATCTGTGGTTATATAAGAGAATATCTTTGGTCTCAGGAAAGACACAACTGAAGTATTATGGGGTAAAGAGTTGTGATGTATGCAAGAGGGAGAGAATTATGAGTAAATGTGGCAAAGTGTTGAAATTTGGTAAATCTAAGAAACAGCCTATCAGAATTCTTTGTACTATCCTTGCAACTTCTCTGAAATTTTGAAATTATTTCAAAATAAAAACTTTTAAAATCATCCTTTAAGATTAAATAAATATTAACACGAGAAGATTTTCACCATAAACAATTAATTGATAAAATCAAGTCTGACGAAATGGTATGATTAGTACAGGTGTTTTGAATAGTGACAAATTAAGGAGGTCATACCAGAGTGTAGACGAATACACACCTTTCTTCAGCAAAACAAAAACAAAACAAAAAACAAAAAAACTACTGCTATGGAAAAAAGCTATACTAAAGTGTGCTTAGTGATACACATGTGGGGACAAACACTGCACCATCATTGTACTGTGAGTGGTACTGGTCTTACATCCCATCTTTTGAATCAATCAATAATTAGTCAATCAATGACTAAATAAATACTTCTAAAATTATGTATATGCATTTGAGAGAATACACATCAAGTCATAGCAGTTAACTCTGGGTAGCACACACGTGAAGACAGTTTTTATTTTCTTCCTGTATTTTGTAATATTTCTGCCATGAGCATGGATTACTTTTATAATGATAAAAGAGTAAACTTTCTAAAAAGAGTAAGTAAAAAAGAACTTAATAGCAGGCAGTCAGATTTCTCAGAATTTGAATCCTATGTCAAAACATGACATTTTCTTATGTTTACATACAGCCAATATTTTCCCAAAAGGATCTATCTCACTTACAGCTGATCTTGAAGCTCCACAATTATATATTCTAATTGTTCCTTTTCCAATTTATGGGCCAGGTCAGAATCTTCAATCCTTTGAAGTAGTATTTTATTCTGGGAGACAGACTCAGACAGCTGGTTCTCTCGAAGTCGTAAGAGTTCTTCAAGATAACCCTGAAAATACAGTTACCAACAAGATAAAGCTACTGCAAAATTCTAATGTATCTCTTGAAGATCAATACTGAGTAGGTTAAATGCTATTCTTTCCAAATTGTAATGAAACAATCTCAAAGTATTACTGATGAAATAGTAAAAAAATAATTATTTTAATTGAATACAAAAATTTAACCTATATCTTCCATCCCTTAAAGCCCTTCCTGAAGTTCAATAAGAGGTTTGCTTGCAGTGGGTAAACTGGAAGTTTGTACATTTTGACTCCCTTCACCTATTTTACCCATCTCCACCATGTTCACATTCCTGGTGAACTGGTTCTTTTTTTTTCAAGAGCAATGTATTTCTTTAGTCTTAATAGTGCTTTTGCCTTAAGGTCTATATTGAATGGTATTAACATAAAATTTTTTTTCATATTTGTCCGCTTTACCTTTACCCTCTTAATAAATGCTAAAATCTCAAACATATAAATGAAACCACATATAGAAGAATAAATGGCTTATTTTTTAATTTTTAACTTTTTTTAGAGGGCGGGCAGAGAGACATGGAGAGAGAGAATCTTAAGCAGGCTCCATGCTGAGGAGCTCAAGGGCTCTATTCCACGATCCTGAGATCATGACCTGAGCTGAAATCAAGAGTTGGATGCTTAACCGACTGAGCCAACCAGGTGCCCCTAAATGGCTAATTTTTATGTTAAAACATAAAACTAGAAGAAGTTGAAAAAACAAAAGCCTCTTTTAAAACTTTGCATGATTTTTCATTAAGAGAACATAACATAATAATAAAAAATAAATAATAAAAAAAAAGAGAGAAGGACAATTCAAGAACAGAAAGGAAGTAGCAATTGGTCAACACTCACATTCAGCTAAAAGATCTTTTGGCAATGACAGTCCAAAGGCAATAATGAGAATCAGATTAAATGACTTTTGGCAACTGATAAATACCTTCTGTTCCAGGGTTAGCTGATACTTTTGTTTAACTCTCTTACACTTGTTGAACCAACTATTCTCATCCATGATGAAAGGAGGCCCGACATTCTCTGGAGTGCTGCTTTCACTACCACTGCTTCCCAAAGTTCTCAGCTCTTCCTCGTCACTGCTGATGCTGTCAGAACTGGAAAGATTAAGATTTTAAAAATAAAGTTACTTTGTTTCACTCCATTAAGAAATACTTCTCTATTCTGTAAGCTACTGGTGAGCCAACTGCAAAATATTTAGCACTCCATATACAATTATAATATGATATTATAAAGACTTTAGCTTCCTGAAAAAAAATGACAATCTAGTATAGACTGCCAACTCCCTCTCAGAGAGTCAAGCCTCAAGATGCTACAGAAGTTCACCTGAGGTTTATAAACCTAAAGAATTAACATAAGAACTGTGAGAATGTTCTGAGAAGAGAGAAAGGACTTCCAGAGAAGAGAGCCAGAAAACCTAGATGTGTTGGAAAGAACTTTCCAGATGAGTTTTTTTACTGTCTCAGGTAGATGACTGCCTGTCCAGTATCCACTGCTGTGCAGACAAACAGCACGACCAGCCTAACGTCAGTGGGGTATAATAGGGCAATGTTCGAGGTCAGCTCAGCTTTGGCAAAGAAGGGATAGTAAGAGGTTCAGAAAAACTAGTCACTCCTAAGCATTTTACGTTAGGGGAAGAAGGAGAAGCAGAGGTAGAGGAGAGGAAACACTGTTTACAATCCATATCTGAAATTCCTAATGATATCCATATGGTAGAACAGGACAGAATAAGGTTAAAAAAAAAAAAAAAAAGAAGAAGAAGAAACTAAATGAAGAAGTGCACTAAAACGGGTATCTGGTTTAGAAGAAAGAGGAGGTGTCACACTTAAAGAAGAACAGGGGAAAATACATTTTAAAATATAAGCAATGGTATTAACATAAGACAAATAGCATACAAATATTCTGTGTAATCTTCAAAGTATTAAAAAAACCTCTGACCTATCAAATGGAGAAGCAAAAGAAGAAAATACAGCAAATTCAAAACAAAAAATAAGATGGCAGAATAATCCCTAATACAAAATAAGTTACAAAAATCTTCAATGGGTTAAATTCAACAGCAAGAGCCAAATGTTTAAGTTTAATTAAGACAAATCAGGACTGGAGTGTTGTGGGTGGCTCAATCGGTTAAGCGTCCAACTCATGATTTTGGCTCAGGTCATGATCTCATGTGTCAGGGGATCAAGCCCTGCATCAGACTCTGTAATCAGTGCTTGAGATTCTATCTCTCCCTCTCCCCATGCCCCTCTCCCTCACATGCTCTCTCTCTCTCTCTAAAATAAATAAATAAACCTTAAAAAAAGACAAATAAGGACCAACAATAAGTTGTCTACAAGATACATATGAATACAGAACAATTAAAACTAAAGAAATGGAAAGCACACCAAGAAAACATGACTCAAAAGAAATCCAGGTCAGAAATAATAATTTCATAGGTTTACAGAGATATTATGGAAAATATCATAAGGATCAAAGAAAGATACATATTTCACTTTCTGTGATCTGTGTTTACACCTGTTGGGCTCCAGAGTCTAGGGACCAAGTATGTTGCAAATATGAATCAGAGACCTCTGCATAAGGAAAAGTCCTACCTCCAAGGAGACACTCTCAGTCAGTGATCTAGGTCACAAACCAGTAAACAAACACATACCAAAGGAAATTTGGCTGTCACAGCCATGGCTTTTAGTGGACTAGAGAAAATAAAGCAATGGCTGATGATAAACGTCCAGCTCTGAAAAACAGACAAACAGAACTTTTAAAAAAATTATACTGACATTAAAAATTAAATGGATGAGCTAACAGATACAGCTGAAGAGGGAATTAATAAAAAATATGAAGAAATTACAATTACTTACTAAAGATTTTCCAAATGCTAAGAAAAAATAACTGCTATGCTCAATAGCAAATCCAGCAAAATTATCCTCCCAGAAAGAGGGCAGTATAAACGCACATACTCAGAAAACTAAAACCAGAGAGCTGTACCAAGAAATTCTCCTAAAAGAACTAATGATCACACTCCAAGAAAAAGGAAATGATCCAAGAAGAAACAGTGAGCAAAGAAAAATTTCAGCTTATGGGTAAACCTAAACAAATACTGAGAGCATGAAACACTAACAATGATGCCTGCTTTGTGGAATTTTAAATACATCAACGAGAGACCTAAAATTCTAGACAGTAATAGCATATGTCAAGAATGAAATGACTAGAGTTAAAACAATGCAAAGTCCTCATTTATATGGATAGGTAGTAAAGATATTAACTTTATACTTTGTTAACTTTTAAGTATGCATATTAAAATTAATGGAGTACCAATACAAGAAGAGAAGTATAGTATGTAACTTGTAAACTAGTAGAGAAATAAAATGGGAGGAGAAGAAAAATCAATACAGAAAGAAAAGAAAGAGAGGAGGAGAAATAGAGAAAGGGTAGAAAAAGAAATGCAAAAAATGTAGAGTAGAAAGCAAAGAGTAGAGGGGTGCCTAGTGGCTCAGTCAGTTAAGCGTCCAGCTCTTAATTTAGGCTCAGGTCATGATCTCGGGGTCATGGGATCAAGCCCCATGTTGGGCTCCATGCTCAGCAGGAAGTCTGCTTGAGATTCTCTCTCTCCCTCTTCTTCTGTCCCCACCCCCTCTCTAACATAAATAAATAAATCTTAAAAAAAAAAAAAGAAGGCAAAGAGTATAATGGTAGGTATCAATCCAAATGTATCAGCAAATGTCCAAATCACCTCAGTTTAATGACAACTGGGTGTTAATTGCAAATGATGAATCACTAAATTTTACCCTTGAAACTAATAATACACTATGTTAACTAAATTGAATTTAAATTAAAAAAGACAAAGCCTTTTAGACTAGATTTTTTAAATTCCAGTTAAGTATATCTTGATGAGCACTGACTAATATATGGAGTTGCTGAATCGCTGTATTGTACACTTGAAACTAACATAACGCTGTATATATTAACTACATTGGAAATAAAAAATTCCAGTTAAGTACTACTTTAAAAAGATATACTTAAAAAAACAGGACACGAAAAGGAAAAGCACTGTATTTCATAAATTCCTGCTGTACATTTTTTATATATTAACATACCTGAAATCAGGATACAGCTTACAATTGATGATATCTTACCTGCTGTCAAACCATTTTCTCACATATTAATGTCTCTGAACTGAGATGCATTTACAATGGAAGGCATGTCAGGTTATATGAAATATGGTTTAAAAAAAGATAAAAAAAATATACTAAAAAATACTAACCTAAAGAAAATTCGTGGGGCTCTATTTATATCAGACAAAATGGGCTTTAAGGAATAAAAAATTACCATGTATTTACAGCTACTACATAGTGACAAAAAAAATTCATTGTTTCAGGAAAATCTAAGAATTCAAAACTTAGGTGCATCTTTTAAGTTAGATTCAAAAACCAGAGAGCAAAAATTGAAAGTACCACCTGAAAAAATCAGATACCACAATGAAAGTATTTAATTCATCAATTCAAAGAGAAAAATAAGAAAGGTTATAGAATATCAGAACAACCATTATCAAGCATAATCTAATGAATATAGGACCCAACCATTGTAATATTGATCAATTCTAGGCCATTTTTCAACAAATTTCAAGAAACTATTATTATGTGGACCATATTGCCAATCACAACTGTAACAAAAGCCCTGAAAATGTTTGAAAATTAAAATTTACATTTCAAATATTCTTTGGTCAAAAAAATTATAATGGATATCTTACTTAAAACAACTAAAATAAAAACAACTTATCAAACTTATAAGATACAGCTAAAGTAGTACTTCAAGGGATATCTGTAGCCATATGTCCTTATAAGAAAAGAGGTAAATTTAAGTACTGAGAAAGAAAAAAAAATCATAAAAATTCTCCATAAACTGGGTATAGAGGGAACGTACTCAACATAATAAAGGCCATATCTGACCAGCCCACAGCTACTTTCATACTCAATGGTAAAAAAGCCAAAAGCCTTTCCTCTAAGATCAGGAAGAAGACAAAGATACCTACTGTCCCCACTATTATTCAACATAGTATTGGAAATCCTAACCAATCCTAACTTGGAAAGGAAGAAGTAAAACTGTTTGCAGATGACATGATATTGTATATAGAAAACCTTAAAGACACCAGCAATAAACTGATAGAATAAATGAGTTCAGTCAAGACAGAGAGTACAAAATCAATATACAAAATAAGCTGTGTTTCAACACACTAATGACAAACTATCAGAAACAAAAATTAATAAAACAATCCCATTTATAATTACATCAAGAAGAGTAAGATACCTTGGAATAGATGTAAAAGGGGAGGTAAAAGACCTATACACTGGAAACTGTAAGACAGTGATGAAAGAAACTGAGAAAGGCACACATAAACTTCAAGACATTCTCTGCTCATGAACTGATAAAATTAATATTGTTAAAATGACCATACTACGCAAGGCAACCTAAGGTTTAATGCAACACCTATCAAAATTCAATGGCATTTTTCATAGACCTAGGACAATCATAAAATCTGTACAAAACCACACCCACTAAACAGCCAAAGCAATCTTGAGCGAGAACAGAGCTGGAGGCATTGCACCTATTGATTTCAAAATACATTACAAATCAACAGTTATCAAAAGAGAATGGTACTCGCATAAATGCAGACACACAGATCAATGGAACCTAAGGGGAGTCCAGAATAAACTCACACATATTTGGTCAATTAATTTATGACAAAGGAGCCAAAAATATACAACAGTTAGAGAATAGTCTTGTCAATAAGTGGAGCTGAAAAAACTGATCAGCCTCATGTTAAAGAATAAAGCTGGAACCCCTATTTACACCATACACAAAAATCGACTCAGCAAAGTAGATTAAAGACTTGAATGTAAAACCTGAAACTGTAAAACTCCTAGAAGAAAACAGAAAGTAAGCTCCCTGACATCAATCCAGACAAAAATTTTTGGATTTGAGGCCAAAAACAAAGGTAAATAAAAGCAAAAGCAAAAATAAACAAATGGGCCTACATCAAACTAAAAGGCTTCTACATAGCAACAGAAACCACTGCAAAATGAAAAGGCAACCTACTGACTGGAAG